GTGAGAGCCTGGTCCGGTGAGAACCCGGCGTGCTCCGTCCCGGCTTTGTAGGGATGCGAGGTCAATGGTCTAACGACTACGGCATGCACGACTATGAGTACACCCCCCCCCACACACACACTGTACTCATATTTCAAGCGTGTCCAGGAAGTTTTAGAAACACTTCATTCTGACGTGGATGGATGTTACGTTTTGCCCTTACGCTTACGGGCGCGCGTTGATACATGTGTGCTGTTCTGTGCAAACGTTTGGCTCGAGATTCCGATCCTTTCGACAGAAAAGCTTCGCAAGCAAACGTGATTCACAGGCAAGTGCCAACTGGGCTTTGTACTGAGCGCCAAACAGCAAGGTGGAGACCGTCAAGCCATCGACACTGTATCGTTTTTTGTTGAAGTTTGACAACGTGCAGATATCCCAGAAGGACGACGCGTTGGAGAATATTATCAAAGGGGATGGATGCAGTTATGGGGTTCTTTACGGTGACGGGTCGAAGGACTCCTGATGGGGAACGGGCTAAATTTGAGACTCTTTCTACGTGTCAAAAGAGGGTGACTGCGGTATCTCCATTTACTCCCCCCTTTTTCGACTCTTCTTGATTGCTAGGCAAAAAGGCTTCTTCGGGTGACACATGTGGAGATTCCCTCATAAAGGTTACAATCTCCCCAAGCGTACTAGCACACTTCAATGCTCGAGGAACCAGTCCAACTCGCCGATGAGGAATCCTACAGACCGGGAAAGCTGCATCAAAGAGGGACACAGCGTTAAGAGCAAGAGTTGTTATTGTTGTTCTCTTCACATTTATCTAGGAAAAGACTCGATCCGTGGACGCAAAAGTGCTAGAGCCATCAGAGGATCTAAAAAACAAGCACACATACTACAACGGCAATAGAGGTGCTGCTGAATGTGACTCCCAATACCTTGTTTCGACGCTATCGCCCCAGCCCAAGTCCGCTTCCACAGCTTGTTGTCTTTTCCCGCCTGCCGCTGCAGCTTGCATCTCCTCGTCAGCGTTTCCTTTATCTCCCTCAGCTGCACTCGGATCTACTCGTTAAAAAAATTAAATATAAACACGGCCTGTATCGTTCAGTGTTTCTCTCCCCTGGTTGCACTGGGAAGTATACGTCAAACAACAAAAAAAGACAAATTATTGTTCTTGCATTTCGTGTATTCGTCCAGTGACTCTTTTCCCTTCCCCGGTTGCACTCGGAACTATTCGTAAGCACTGAAACAACACAAAACAAATCGTTCAGTGACTCTTCTCCCTCCCCCTGGAGCACTCGGAAGCACTCGTCAAACAACCAAAACAACACAGCAAGCCGTCTCTTGGAGTACAAGATATCACATCCCCTGGGCCGGTGTTTGCCATCGGGGTTGGGTTTTCGTCGCTTGGCAACGACGTTGTAAAACAAGCCAACTCACTTCGTGAACTCGGCAATTGGGTTACCGTATTTTTTTACCTCCGTTTTTTTTTTGGCGGTAATCATGAATGGTGGTCGAGTAGATCATGTTGTGCGGGGTGGAGAACCCTCACTCCGCGCAAGGGGGATGATCGCACCACGTTGTGTTAAAATGGTCAAGCACCCTCGAGGCAGTTACACAGTGCTTACAACTGTCTCTGGAAGTGAAAGCACCAGAAAATAAATTAATTCATACGCAGCTGTCATCCGTACGCAAGGAAGTAAGCACAAGATGCCGAAAACCCTTAGCAGGATGCAGCGCACCCTTCATGCGACTCGCCGAATATCTCACGGCGCTTCGCGCTTGGTGATGTGAGAGCCTGGTCCGGTGAGAACCCGGCGTGCTCCGTCCCGGCTTTGTAGGGATGCGAGGTCAATGGTCTAACGACTACGGCATGCACGACTATGAGTACACCCCCCCCCTGGGCCGATTTTCAAAGCTCGACTACTCCACGACGGAGCGGGTGCATAAATCAAAGGGTACGTTTTCGGAAAGCTCTCGGCGAGACCGTTCCAACCCTGTCATTTTCGGCATCGTCACTGCTTTTCCTGCCGAGAAATCGAGCTTCGGAAGTTCGGTCCGGGGGGTGTGATATATTTTGCAACCTGCGGTATTCGTTCAGTGTCCGGCGCTTGCTCACAGTGTGAACCAACACGTGCACCACCCGACCACGTTCGCACCATTGGAGATTTGGTTGAAAACATGCGACCGACGTGGAGCACGACAAACATGGCTCTGCTTGTTGGCCCGTGCCGTGATTTTTTGACGCGTATGTCGCGTGTGATGAGAGAAACAGCGGTATCGCTCTCCTCTACCCGAATGCCTTCGAAAGTATTAAAGCATTCGAAACCGCTGCAGCTAGCAAAGGCTCGAAAATGCACCTGGCGTAGTGCGTGGTCCAGCCTCGAACTTGGCCAGTATCTTTCGAAACTTGCCCCTGTCTCCCGTCAGGCGCCAACTCGCCGCTACAGGCTGCATCTGCCACGACAGCGCCATAGGCGAGGGGGAGATCCACGAAATCAACAATGCTCTTCAGCATTCACGCTGAGTTGTTTGACGTTGGTGCGTGTCTACGTCAGTGGCGGCTCCGTGGAGGTTGGATGATGAGCATGCGCACGCGCTCTCTACAGGGAGACCAAGTGAACACAACCGTGTTAAGATGTACAGCGTATCCACCATGCTACAAGTCAGCAAGTCAGCGCTGACTTGTAGCATAGTGGATATGCTGTCTACAAGTCAGCGCTGACCTAGTCAGCGAAGAATATCCACTATGCTACGAGTCAGCAAGTCAAGTCCGTGCTGACTTCTACCACAGTGGATATGCTGTGTACAAGTCAGCGACGAGTCAGCGCTGACTTGTAGCAGAGTGGATATGCTGTACACCATAGCAAACCGCCTGCGTTGCCCGGCCATCGGTATTTTGGGCGAGACGCCGCCTTTCCGTCAGTCGGAAAAGACTCCGGAGCTTACATGTCGACTGAACAGGCACGTCGCACTACAACAAGTCCAACACGTGGACTGAAACAGATGCGTTGCACTACCAACCACTTGTGGGTGTCATTCACGTCGCGCTACAATAATGTCCAACACGTGGACTGATACAGATACGTGGCACTACCAACTACTTGTGGGTGTCATGAGAACATCGTGTACTTGTGCTCTGTTCTCCCGGGGGGGAGAGGAAACGGGTTCGACCCCGAAAATTTCGCCTTGGAAACGAACACGCATTGTAGGTTGATGTTGCGGGAACTTTTGAACACCACAATTGATCGACGACCTACCCGAAGCGGGACCGAACGGAATGCGTTTAGGTCCGTCAATGACGTCCCGCCAGCCAGAACATGAAGTGACCGAAGACCTCGAGAAAAACAAAAATTTCGAATAGCCCCCTCTGCCGCGCTTTGTGAACGACTTCTGCTACGTGACACCGTGATGATGGAAGAAATGCACCGATCAGCGGAAGAAAGGCAAACATACGAAAAGCCGAAGCTGTGTCTTGCGCTGGCGGGAGCATCATCGTTGCAGCAAAAAAAAACAAGCAGACGCAAAAGCCGGAGCTAGTTGCGTCGTACGCTGACGGGGGCTTCATTGCTTGCGGAGCTATGTCTTACGCTGGCGGGGTCATCATCGTTGCTTCCGGAATCGCTACTGTCCCCCCCTTCGTCCGACAAGGGCAGCGTTTGCATCTCGGCCACAGCTTGCGCGGACGGCTGGCATGAAACAAAGGTCGTCGTTCCGGCGGAATTTTGCAGGATAAATGAGCACGTGGCCTCGTTATCAGAAGTCGGTAACATTCCTACGATACTGTTGCATATTGACGTGATCCTTGCTCGGTAAAGCACCATCATGACGTCCTTATAAGGAGGTGAAAACATCCCTACAATACTGCTGAATACTGCAAGATAAATGGGCATCGTGACCTCGTTGTGAGGGAGGCGGAAACATTTTACTTCAGGGCCAATACTGAGTACTGGCGTCATCTTGCACTATAATAGAGCACCCGTGACCCTCGGTATATAGGAGGCTAGTATTTTTCAAAAAGTACTAAAGGGCCACGGTTGATCCTGATGTCGTTATCCTCGCAGTATGGATAAGGTCATGAAGGCCATATCTCCAGGATGGCCGACGCTACCGTTAAGAAAGGTACAGGGGGAGTTGTGCTTGGTTAGAGCAAATGGCGATGTTGTGCTTTCCGCATACGTTGTGTAAGATACCACCACCGCGTTGGCCGATTGCTACTTTGTACCTCAACTACTCCTCGACAAAGGGGGACCCAACAATCAAACTATGCATTGTCTTCGGCGAGATGGTTCGAGCGCCGCCATTTCCGGCACAGGCGTGGGGTTCGCTGTAGAGAAATATTTTTCTGAAAACCAGTCCAAGGGGTGTGCTACATACATTGCTGCGTCCTGTGTCCCAAACCGTTGCCCGTGGGGAGGAAAAGAGTGGTGCTGTATATTCCTGTACTTCGACGCTTGTACTAACTAACGCCTTGTCATCCAGAGGACGACCTACTTCGTCCTTTTTAAATGTGCGATCTCCACCTTAAACCGAGCCGCTTTTAACGGCTGTTCGTGAGACTAGAAATCTTTGTGGTGCCAATATCGCCCACTTACGACTGCAACAGTGCATCTGACCTACATTCCCTTCTCCTGGATGTCCTCGACAAAATGTCAACCTCGCCTCATTGTTAAGCGGTCTTTCCCTCTGCCCTGTGTTCGAGTGATTATTCCCGCCTGGTTTACCACATCATACTTCTACAAGTTATGGCATGATGTCTCGAAAAGGTAGAAAAATCGTCAAAACGGCGCCCAGGAGCATGAAGTCTCGATTCTTCCTCCTCACCATAGCCGGAAGCCTCCTTCTTGGTCGTCCTCTGCCTTCCGTTTCCGCCCGGTCGGCAAGCCCCGTGGAGTTGTGCCGCTCCCTCACCGAACCGCCGCCGTCGCTGCCGTCTTCAACGTCTGCACTCCCGTCGACACCAGCCTCCGAACCCCCCCCTACCCCCCTATCAACAACCTCCGCCGCGTTGCCCCCTCGTCCTCCATCTGTGCCGCGGGCAGCCCCGCCCCTCCCACCAGCCGCGATCACGGTGCCCCCTACCCAATCCCCCTCGTGGTGGCGTCCGAGGGAAGGTGATCTGGTGGTTTGCCGACTGGCGGACGGGGCTAGTCTTGTGCTTGCGCTCCTCGCACCCGGTAAGGTCGTTGCTAACGGCTTCTTGTTGGAGCCGTTGGAGGGCAGCTCGCCGCCACCTTTGGTATCACCGGAGGCGTGTTTGTCGTCGTCGTTGTTGTTGAGGTCGTCGTTACTTGCCCCCTCCAGTGGAAAAACAGACGGAAGCCAGCGCGGGAGAGGCGTGTAGGGTGTAGAACTCAGAACAGCAACGACGGTCAACAAGAGCAGCAACGCTCTCATTCCTCCAGAGTTGGCCTTGTCGGAAGAGGAAGACCGTACCGCAAAGAAGGGGTCTTAGCGCAAGAAAAAACAGCCGCATCGCAAGAAAAAGAAGCGTTATCGCAAGAAGGGGGGACTTCGCGAGAAGGAGCCATACCGCAAGAGGGGTGAGCCCGCCCGTCGAATGCTGTTTGGGCGTGGTGTGTTGTCGTCGAGGACTTTTAGCGAACTTCGCCCCCACGTTGTTGCTGATGGTGTTGCCATTGTCGTTGTCATGTACTGCCTTTGTCGTAAAGGACGTTCATAATATATCCAGTATTTGCTACGCCCTCTGCTACTACGGGGAGGACCCGTATTTCCATGCACACAAGGCCATGTAACTCGCGAGTAGAGTCAAACAAGAACGTGAGATTGGGACACGACCGCTATTTCTTGCCAGTCACCGACGGCACTGTAAGAACAAAGAAGGTACTTTCTGCGGCGAGATTTCACAAGCCCTCTGGGTGGACACAGAAAAGCATTGCAATGTTTTTGCACGAACAACAGGTGACGACTCGAAAATCGTGGATGGTGTGTAGATGACAGAAAGTTGTGTCGGACGGGCGGAGTCCAAGCACACGCACGCTACAGCCGGGAAGGACAACAGTTCGAAGATTTTGGGGCCCTTTTGGAAATTAAAAGGCCTGCTTTCTATGGAAGCATAACTCTTCCATGCGTAACAATCTGGCATGGGCAGGGAAATCCTCTCGAGATGAGGCCTCTCTTATTCTCTTCTCGGCCGTTTCCTCGCTAGGGATAGGGTTGGGGTGAGGGTTCAGCTCAAATCTCGCGACGAAAACTGAACCGGCGTGCTCTCGGTGACGGACTACCACAAAGCTGTGGGAACCCATGACGCAAGCCGTCCACAGTCGAACCTCAGGTATCAGCTGGAGTCCATATAGATATATCATGACCTCGAAGCGACGACGAAGATATGCCATCCCTTTCGTGTTTTGCCACGATAGAATCAGCAGCAACAACAACAATCAGAGGTTGAACAAGAGGGGACCCGTCTCAAACACGAGTAGAAGAGAACCAACATGGTAAACGGGTAATCCACCCAGAAGAAAAACTAAACCACGGGGCCCCGGCACGGGTCTCACCCCTTCCTGAACCTTGAAGAGGCCCGATGTCGAGCCGGCGGGGAGGCCTCGCAAGGAGATCTCGTGCATCTCCGTACGCCCGTGTACCGGCACCCACACCTGCACAAGTGCACACAGGAGACAGCAGTTATCGACATGCACCGGTAGTGCAGATTGCCGGCTGGGTTGTATCTTCGTTCTGCGGTTGACTGCTTCAATACAGCCGTTCGCTCATCGCGTGAGGAACCAACTGTATAACCGTGCACAAGTGAGCACAGGCGACAGTTATCGACATGCACCGGTAGTGCAGAATGCCGGCTGGGTTGTCGTTTTTCGTCCTGCGGTTGACTGGCGAAACACAGCCGTCCGCTTACCGTGAGGAACCAACTGTCGAAAACGTGCCGATCAGATGGGCAAGGTACCGACTGGACAGAGGTAGGACTTGTGTTTCACGACTTCTCCGACGAGAAACAAAAATGTGACAGCTCGTCAGCGTGCTCTGGACAATACACATGTCAGTGGACAGGGTGCTACGAACCCAGCTGAAACACCCGTGCATGGCTGCGACAGCAACGACGACGAAAGCAACAGTAGCAGCTATAGCAAAAGCAGCAGCAGCAGCAGCAGCAGCAGCAGCAGCATCAACAACAACACCACGATTAACAACAACAACAACAACAACAACAGCAGCAGCAGGGACATCCTCTGGCCATCCGCACCTGAACACCAGCCCGTCTCGTAAAGGAAGACCGCGCCGATCGAGGAGACGAGCCACCACCGCTGGTAGCGTGAGACGCCAAGGATATTCTCCCGCCGCCGCCGACGCCGCCATTCGGAAGCGACCATCGACCTGGGATGGCCATTGAAGAGGCCACCGTCTGTGCCAGCGTCGCTCCCCCGCCCGGGAATCCCAAATGAGACTTTGTTGATCTCGTGAGAGGCGAGAGGGCGGGGGGGCACTCTTCTCCATCCCTACCGATCATGCCGCCTTCGGCGGAAATACCTGCGCACCCGCGTTCACACAAAACGTGTATGTCGCCGCTCCAATCGTCAGCACAAACGAGACACGCTAAAAATCAATCAATCGTGCATGGGTTTGCTTCAAGTTTGCTAAGTAATAGAGCAGATGAAGGCAGCACTTCAACATGCGGCTTCTTAGTCATTGCTGAAACGTTAGTATCATTTGGCGTAGAAGTGGAATCTGACAACGGCCGCCCGCCCCCCAGATAGTAAGAGCTTCGGCACGACGGAAACGCCCACAGACTGACCATCACGGAGATACTAACGCTAGGTCGGGCGCGAATTTCTCGCTGTTGGGGCGTAAGCATCAGCACCACATTCATCATGAGTTTCAGGCCAACGCCAAGACAAATAACGGGATGTTCAACGATTAAGATGACGGTTGCACGTGAAGTGAGAGACCTAGACAGGCACGGAATTCACGTCGAGTGTTCAGTAAATGGAACCTACACATGTATTACACAGCGGCAACAAACGCGATGGTCACCGCGTGATGAGCGCATTCACGGCATGACCTCTCACAACGCGGCTGTTAGCGTCATTATCTTCATTTATTTAACCTTAGGAAGAGACCAACGGTCTTCAACACTCCATGTATCTCTGCATGGTTGCAGTCGCTACTTTTGTAGTGAAGAAGTTAGTTCTGATCCGTTTGTAAACATGGTGGGAAGAGTTTTTAACGTGGAGAAAGCAACAACAAAGGCCGCGGCACGAACAGCACCAGCAACGGCAGCGACAGCGACAGCAACAATCGCTCACAAACGGCAAACAGCAACAACAGAATAAACGGGTAACGACATAGCAACAGCAACAAAAACAATTCACCGGCGCTGCTGTTGGCATTGCCTACACCGACACGGCCATCACCTTCCTGTCGCGTGGCAGGAGGCAACGCCAAGGTCCAGTCATCCTCGGAAGCTCTGCGGCTGCTGCTTGCTTCCGAGGTGGGGCTCGAGGGCGCTCCGCGGTTCTTGCTTCTTCTTGTCGGCTGCTGCTGCTGCTGCTGCTGCGGCGGCGGCGGCGGCGGCGGCGGCGGCTGCGGCTGCGGCAGTGAACGTTGACCTTGATTGCCGTCGTCCTGTTGGACGTTATCCTTCATCCCTGCGAAAATTTCCTCGAAGGCGTCTAGCCATGCCTGCGTGCGTGGTCACCACCGACACCGTGTTTTCTTGTTCACCATCGTTGCCGTTCGGGACAAACTTTTCTAGAAAAGGCAGGTTCGGTTGTATTCGTTCTCGTGCGTTATGTGTGTGTGCGTTCCGTAGGCAGAGAGTATGTATGGAGTTTTAAAAAAAGGTTGATCGTTGTCCATATGTAAATATGCTTCGTTGTTCCGGGTGATCGGCACTGTTCGGAGAAATGATACCGACATCCCATCAATGTCGCGCAATTTCGCCTACACCATATTGTATTCCGGGAAGGTGGCACTATTCAAACTGGCGATCCCCACACTGTTCTACCAACACCTCGCTGTTCCATGAAGCGTTTAGCGCATTGCATGTACAGCAGCACTTGTCGTGTTCCCGAGAGTGAGGCTCGCTCGCCTGCTTTTCCTCTGCGGAGACGGCCATGGCCACGAAGCTCTTCCCGCTCGACCGCGCGATCGCGAAAGAGTCGCTGCTGCCGTAGTCCAGCACGAGGCACTCATGCAGAGGGATCCGTCCGTGCACCTTGGTGATTACGATGACGGGGACAACTTGGGGCATTGCGCGTGTTTGGTACGTCATTGGCTGATAAAGTGTGATACGACTCGATGCTCCGCATGGCATGCTCGCTCTGTCTCGTATTTGCAAGGACTAAGCACATTGACGTGAATTTTCACCACGTGCGGTCGCTGGTAGCTGACGGAGTCGTACACGTGAAGAAAATATTGACGTCGCTTCGGAAAGCAGATATTTAATCGAAAGGGCTAATTCCGTCGGAGTTTCTCAGCGCCCATGGCATGCCGTTAGGAGTTTAATCGACGTGGTTGATATATACGCAGAGTTTCGGTCAATTACAAGAAACTCGGTAGCTCGGTGTCACCACCGCACACCCACAACAGGTTATGCTTGGCCTCGCAGTAGCAGTAGCATGAACGAAAAATCGCTGTGACAATTTTATAGAATACCGACATATAGGTTTAGTTGGCACCACGGCAGCAGTGCTAAAGCATGATTGAAAATTGCCAAGACTCAGGGAACCAAGGGGTATGGGTAAGGATATACGTCGTACGGCAGGAAACCCAAAACACCACCTCGAGTATGTGGCGCAACGGTGCTGAGACAAAGGGCGCATAGCGACGGCGGGGAAGCCGCACGGCTCTCTTGCGCGTTACGCCCGGAAAGGAAGTGGACACAAACGGAGAGACATGTTCGTGTTTGCATCCAACAGCTACTCGCCTCGGCACACAACGCCGAGCGCACGGCAAGTAACTCGCGAGTGCCTCTTCAATGGAAATATCACCGGCATCGCCTCGAAACATATCACAGAGGAATGTTGCAGCGTCGTTTTGTTGTTCGTACAACCCTACACAGCGGATAGTTCAACAAAGTCGCTCCACGCAAACATAGTCCAACATGACCAACAAACCATTGATCTCTACGAATTCACCAATGTACCAAAGCGACTGTCAGAATGCTTCGGCGAAGATAATGAAGCATTCACACGAAAAGTAGTCCCCACCTTGTATTTGCGGTGGTCGCGCTGAAGCTTCGCCCGCAGGCTGGCCTCCGTTCCGTAGACTAGCATGTGCGAGAACAGAACGAACTTGTATCGGCGGGGCCCTCCGTTGCAAACCTTGAGCAAGAATCCCTCCTTGACGAGATGACTTCGCACGCAGAGTCAATCGTGTTCCAAGGGCTAGGGTTAGGATTAGGGGTTGACGAGATGACTTCGCAAGCGGCATCGTATTCCAAAGCATACCGCCATGTACGCATCATCAACATCGTTCATCCGCCCGACGCAGGCACCCGAGGTTTTGTAGACAGGCTGGGGAGAGGGAAGTCGGGACGGGGAGGCAAAGCACCAAATAGAAACAACAGAGACACACATCACGGGGGCTCCGCAACAACAACAAGCAGTGCTAATATGTCAAATTCGTCGGCAGGGGAAACTGTCTGCTACACACTGTCAAGGAAACCTGTCTATGAGTACACAATATTGCTTTTCACCCGGTCTGATTGGTTCGGTTGGTGCCGTTCCACGTTTCTTCGTGCTACAAAAAAACGGTCGAAACGCCAAGCCAAACTACGGTATATCTCTATCCCTGTCACCTTGAAGGCTTGAGGAATTCTTCTCTGAATTCGTACTGGAGTTCCAATGCCCTCACGAAGCGTTCCTTATCCCGGGCGCCTTCGTTAAGCTTTGTCACGGTGCTGGAAACCTAGCCACGGCCGATGGGAATAAGAAACAGCGGCCGAGACATCGAACATAACATTGACGTCCGTGTATAATACGTGTTGAGTTTTTAGGACTTCTTTCTTTTCTAGTGCCGATATCACCCGTTGTTGCCGTCGATGGTAGTCTGAGTGGTCTTTAGGCTTTGCCGGGATCAAAACAAGCGTCACCTCTCCCCCCCCCCCCCCCCCCCCCCCCCCCCCCCCCCCCCCCCCCCCCCCCCCCCCCCCCCCCCCCCCCCCCCCCCCCCCCCCCCCCCCCCCCC